CCACAGCGTAAACAGGCCTGTGGACATTTCCAGTCGCGGTCATTGAGTCAGTGTGTCACTTACTGACTGTGGATTGACGGAGGGTGAGGATGCTGTGTGGACCGTTAGAGGGCATGCTTTCTGTCAGTGCAGCAAACATGTTTATTTGAACTGACTCGGATTCTTTCAGCACATGCAGGTGCTGGCTGTCGCTTTGTTCGGCTTTTCCTCACAATATCACGATCTGTGTGAGTGGCCCCCAAGCTGGGGGTCGGGACCCCTCACAAGGGCTCATGAGATTAACACTGTAAAACAGCATATCTTAATAAAAGAAGTAAGTTAACATAACTGAATCCTCCAAAAACTGCAGAGTCACTCAGTTACCATGAACAGTATCTTAAGTATTGGTGATGATATCATGAATATATAATTCTAGTTTGTCCCGTTGGTTCGTTTTCTTTAAGTTGACTTTATATCATTACAGAAATGTAAAGGTATTACAGCCCATACATTATCGGTCTGTACTAATAATAATTTAATTTGAATTCTTCTGCAAAATGTTTGATTATTATGTGAAGCCAAAGTATGTTTGTGAAGCTTTTTGATGAACTCTACTAGAAAACATACATTTGAAGAGTGATGTCAGAGTTATAAAATATTAAATCATTCATCTTTGCTCACTACATCTTAGCTTTTTCTTACCCTCACATGTGCTTAAACTACAAATTATGACATTTTTAAAATACAAAAAGTGACATTATCAGTGAGCTTATTGGTTTATACTCAATTAAATAGATTTGTGCATTTGTAAACAAGGTTGATAAGAGCTAAACCAAAAGAATAAATGTGCCTTAAAACCAAAACAATGAGCTAAAAGAGGCTAAAAGCTCCTGTAGCTCCTGCAGAGTTTAGGTTGATCACTGCGAGTAACTCCTTTCACATCACATATTACTCATCTGAATGACTTCATTCACAGATGAGGGACTCTAACTGTGTTACAGTAAACTTACAATAAACCTTTTGTTAGCTTAATTATGCAGAGGCTAATTTCAGTGACATTTAGACTTGAGTTTATTTCTGTGATATAAACAGAGTTTTGTTACATCACGCCCCCCCCCCCCTTACCCAGACACAATTGGCCTCTGTTACCACTTCAGCTTGATCAGTCTCGTTGATTAATCTGGTCTTGTTTCAGAAGCCTTTAGTGTGAATGGAACAGAGCTTCATTAATTAATAACTCATAGTCTAAGTAATTGGTATTTTTTTATCTAGGAGGCCACTGAGGGTCTGTTTTCTCATTACACTTGTTCCTCTGTCTCTGAAACATTTAGTGGAAATGTTAACAAGAAGTGCTTTCATGTGTCTTCACTGCGAAGTGATGTGAAGCTGTAAGAACAGTTTCTCCCGCTGTGTTTCTTCTGATAGTCAGTGATGTTGTGGGAGAGTCTGAAGAGCTTCTGCTGCTTTATTAATCTGCCGCTGTTTGGAGAAAAACCTTACTTTGCTCATCACTTTGATGTGACATTGCTTCTATTTTCCTTGTGACTGGTTTGGTCTCGTCTTTTCGAACTTTATGTTGGATTTATACTGCATGTATACTGCACGCTTCTTTTATATTTATATATCAATTGATCTATCTATGTTTATATTCAGCAAGACATTATTCTTAATCCTGTAATGTAACTATAAGACCTATAGCAAGTGCTGCAGCTAAATGACAGACGAAGTTCAGCCTGAGCTCAGAATAAGCTGCTTGAAGATATCATACGGGCTGAATAAGATATATTTTGAGTTGAATTTTCACTGAAACCCAGCTGGCCCTGCCTAACCCCCACCAGCTGTGCCTGTGGCTCTGTCCAAGGTTCAAATATACGCCTACAGACACGTGTAAAACTCACTAATTAAACCATTATGTCTGTGTTTAATCCGTGCACAAACAGGGAAGTAACTAGAGACCATCTCCTGACGTGACCACACCAGCCACAACGTGCTGACCTTTCCAACCCGTCAGTACTGAATTCGTTACTCAGTACTTCTGCTTCGAACCACACACAAACTCTGCCTTTGTTTTGATCTTGACTAAAGACCTTTAAAGTTTTGTGACTAAATATTTCCCGCTTTGTGACTCTGTCACATTGACAATATTGGTCCACAGACATATAAAGCCCTGTCAAAGTATACTCAACACTGCCTCTATGTAAGTTCTCGCTACAGTAAGGTTCCCCGCGACCAGATTTTGCCATGAGCACACTAACACACGCACACTCACAAGTTGAAATTTGAAAGCGGATTTGTAACTGCACATTCTCATCTGACTCTCAGAAAGTGTTGAACTATTCCTTTAATACCAGGTATAAATGGGGTTTAAATGTCTCCAAGCATCTCCATCTGATGAAAAATCGAATCAAACAATCAGTCGAGATGTTTTATCTGTGTTCATGAATTCACCTGAATAAAACGGCCTTTAACGTCTTTCTCTCTATGTTCTCTCTGCAGGAAACTGAGATTGCTCCTGACTGCAACCATGTGAGTATTCCTCCAAAACACACACCTGTACACTCACGTTTTATTCTTTAATGGAAAATTCTAATATGAGAGAGAGGCAGGAAATAGGAAACTAGTTTTGAACGTTGGTAAATGTAATCAAACCAGAATGTTTAACATGTCAGAGGTTGCTGTGAGTGAAATATCTTGACCACTATTAAAGGATTGCCATGACATTCATGTACTCCTCGGGATGGAATTTAAAAGCTTTAGTGAACCTTTCTTTTTCATAGGAATGTCTCATTCCGATCTCAACGATCGGTATCAGGGCTGATCGATCTTTTGTTTTACATCAGCCATCACACAGCTGTTTTTACTGACACAGCTTTCATGCACGGTGCAGCCATCTCATCTCTCTCCGCTTGTCTCTTCCTCTCTGCTCAGCTCTGTGGTGTGTGGTGTGTGTGTGTGTGAGAGAGCGCAGAGAAAGCGGTAAAGAGCCAACACAGCCACACTCAAAACACCAACTAATTACTCACCAGAGTAAACTAAGATTAACGTAATGTATCGTGGTATACATTTATCAGGGTGTTTTTTTTATCATGGTAATAAAAAAATATATAAAAATAGTCTGTATTGTGTTTATTTACGTTGTCTCTTAACCTTTTGCCTGGATTACATTAATTACTTAATTAATACTTAATTACTTACTTATTAATAATTACTTACTTAGATCGTGAATATCCTGTGAATATATTTTAAATCGCCCTGTGTCTAATTGTGAGCATGTTAGCATCCTGCTGAGCATGTAGCTCAAAGCTCTGCTGTGTCCCAGCACAGCTATCTCAGAGCTGTATAAACTCTTCTTCATTTAGTGTCTGTGTTAAAAGTCAATAATTAACAGAAAAGATGAACCTTTTATATTTGACACACACACTTACATAAATCATCTTTTCTTTTATAAGGTGGTGTAAGGAGATCCCTGCGCTGTATTTAGCAAGAGAAACTAACTTTTTCCAACTGGATGATAATATCACAGATATATATTATTCAATATTTACTTGTTCCAAAACTTCATTGAGGATATCTGATTCTTGTATTGTGTGAATTATTTAAAATTAATGTTTTTTTAATGGCTGCAGCTTTTTATCAGATGGAATTCTGCACTATTAATCATATTTCCCTTTAAT